CCCATCACTTCCATGACCCCTTCTCCTGCTCCTCCCCTCAGGCAGCTCCAGGCATGCCCCCATCTCAGAGCCTTTGCCTCTGTTGAGGTGGAGGAAGAGAAAGGGGGCCGCAGGCCCTCACCCTCTCACTCCCCTTCCCCCTGCAGGTCTCCCACGTCTTCACCAACTTTGGCAAGGGCATCCGATACGTATCTTTTGAGCAGTACGGGAGAGACACGCGTTCCTGGGTGGGGCACTATGGTGCTCTTGTGACCCACTCCAGTGTGAGGGTCAGGATCCGTCTGTCCTAGTGACCGGACTACTGTCTGCTGGAAGTCATCAGTCAAGACCAGCCTTGCAGCTGGGTGCGGTGGCTCACGCCTGTGGAATCCCAGCACTTCAGGAGGCCGAGGTGGGAGGATCACTGGAGCCCAGGAGTTCAAGACTAGCCTGGGCAACACAGTGAGACGCTGTCTCCACAAATAATTTTTAAAAAATTAGCCAGGCATGGTGGTGTCACCTGTCATCCCAGCTACTTGGGAGGCTTGGGTGGGAGGATTGCCTGAGTCCAGGAGATCAAGGCTGCAGTGAGCTGTGATTTCACCACTGCACTCCAGCATGGGCAAGAGAGTAAGACCCTATAAAAAAAAAAAAAAAAAAAAAAGACCAACCTTGTGGCCAGAAGCCAGAGGATACCCAGAGACAGTAGAGGGGGCATGTAGCTGGTTCTCAGCACACCTTCCATGAACCCGCTTCCTACTGCTTCAGCGTGGTAGCCGTCATGCTATGTGACAAACCAGGCTGCTCACAGCTTCCTCAGCTTCCCAGGATGGAGGTGTCAGGAAAGAGACATTTAGTTCTTTTGCCTGCAAATTGTCTCCTGCAAGGATCTCGGTGGACTCAGTCATAAGACAAAGGCTAAACCAGGATTTGTAAGAGAGGGGGAAAGCCGCTGATGCAGGGAGCAGAGATCTGCCAGCATGTTTTTGGGGTAACGATCACTGGCCGGGAGCAGAGGTCAGCCAGTCTGTCCTTGAGACCAACAGGGTCCTCTGCTGTTTGGGGTGGTCTCTGGGATCCCGCCACGGGGCTGGGTGACTGACCATCGCTGTGCAACGTGGCCAGCACTGCCCATCAGCATCTCCTGTTTGGGCCAGGCTGGCACCTCTCTCATCAGAATTCCAGAATTCTATCAGAGGCCAAGTCACCCACCCCCACCTCCTGCCCTTGCTTTGAGGGGCAGCTTCCTGCCAGGTAACACTTCCTTTTCGCCACACTCCTGTATGGACTCCTGGAGCAAGGCGTGCCATGAGGAAAAGCATCTCCCTTTACTTCTCTATTTCCCAGCTAGGCATGGCCAACAAACTAGCTCAATAAAACTGGTGCTAAATACAAGGGGATGGGCGATTTTGATCTGTAATCAGTGCACTTGTCCACCACCAACTCTGATCCTAAAAGACCTTGTGGCCTCCCGTTTTACAATCAGGAGACCCTCGGGAGGCTGTGTGCCGGGCGCTGTGCAGAACGCGGAGACGGCTATGAGGCACCGAACAGCTCTCAGGCATGCACCCTGGTCAGCACCTTTGGTCCAGGCTCAGAGTGTAAATGCCTGCCCAAGGTTACCCAACCAGTAAGTAGGGGAGGCGGGGCTTGGATCAGCGCTGGGCTCCAGAGCCCAATGGTACAGTTTCCACCTCTTTTTTTTCTTTTTTGAGATAGAGTCTCGTTCTGTCACCCAGGCTGCAGTGCATTGATACAGATCTCAGCTCACTGCAACCTCCACCTCCCAGGTTCAAGCGATTCTCCTGCCTCAGCCTCTCCAGTAGCTGGGATTACAGGCACATGTCACCACACCTGGGTAATTACTGTATTTTTAGTAGAGATGGGGTTTTGTCATGTTGGCCAGGCTGCTCTCAAACTCCTGACCTCAGGTGATCAGCCTTCCAAAGTGTTGGGATTACAGGCAAGCCACCGTACCCCGCCCCCACATCTTAAATCTTTTTTTTTTTTTTTCATATCTTAAATCTTATATGGCCAAACACGTGATCATGTACAATCAGTATTACCATCAGTGCCATTTTCTAAGGGAGGAAACTGAGGTCCATAGTGGGAACTAACATAGCCAGGTCTCATAGCAATTACGACAGGGAGCCGGGATTTGAGCCCAGGTGTGTCAGACTGATAATAATATAAAAACAATTCCACTGGCTGGCCATGGTGGCTCACGTGTGTAATCCAGCATTTTGGGAGGCCAAGGTGGAAGGATCTCTGGAGGCCAAGAGTTCATGACCAGCCTGAATGTCAAAGCCAGATTCCCACTCTTAAGAAATGGAAAAATAAGCCGGGCGCGGTGGCTCAAGCCTGTAATCCCAGCACTTTGGGAGGCCGAGGCGGGTGGATCACAAGGTCGAGAGTTCGAGACCATCCTGGTCGACATGGTGAAACCCCGTCTCTACTAAAAATACAAAAAATCAGCGGGGCATGGTGACGTGTGCCTGTAATCCCAGCTACTCAGGAGGCTGAGGCAGGAGAATTGCCTAAACCCAGGAGGCGGAGGTTGCGGTGAGCCGAGATCGCGCCATTGCACTCCAGCCTGGGTAACAAGAGCGAAACTCCGTCTAAAAAAAAAAAGAAATGGAAAAATAAGCCAGGTGTGGTGGCACACACCTGTGGTCCCAGATACTCAGGAGGCTGAAGCAGGAGGATCGATTGAGCCCAGGAAGTCAAGGCTGGAGCTTTTTTTTTAGAGAAAGAGCAAGACTTTGTCTTAAAAAATGGAAAAAATAAAAAAAAAAAAGAGTAGCGCTCTGTGTGTTATGCACTAGAGCATCGAATTTAATCTTTGCCAAACCAAACAGAGGAGATACCACCAAAGGAGCTATTTTCTGGAGGAGTAAACTTAATGTCAGACACGTCCCTTGCCACAGCCACATGGAAGGCAGATACTCCACAAGGGATTCACTTCAGGAGCGCCAGGATCTGTTTATTAAAACCCCTTCCCAGCAGAGGGCAGTACAGTGTCTGTCCCAGCAGAAAAGGCCCCTCAGGCCACCCCTCTAAACACAGGAGCCAAGGGTGTGCACACAATGGCACCCTTTGCACCCCCAGGATTCCTATGGTTTAATAGTGGTCCTGATGGAAGAGGCAGAGCCAGGCTTTGAATCCAAGATTGGCTGCCTCCAGAGGCGCAAGAGCCAGCATCCGGGGACCCTGCTGCAGCCCGGAGCGGAAGGTTCATGTTCTGCATAGGTGCCCAGCCCATTGGGTCCCCAGCGCTCACTTCTTCTTCTGCACGTGGCCACAGTCATACTTGCCACGCACAACGGTGAGCTTGACACCTGGCAGGTCCTGCGTGCGGCCGCCCTGCACGAGGACAATGTGGTGCTCCTGCAGGGTGTGGCCCTCCCCGGGGATGAAGCAGACAGCCTCGCGGCCCGTGCTGAGCCGCACGCGGCAGCACTTCCGATTGGCAGAGTTGGGCTTCTTGGGCTTGCGGGTGAACGTGCGCAGGACCACACCCTTCAGCTGCGGCCGGCCTTCCGTGGGGCCCAGCTTCCGAGGCGGCCGCTTGGGAGGCCCCAGCCGGTGCATCTGGTTCAGGGTAGCCATGGAGCAGGTGGCCCAGAGCCGGGGAACCAAGGCTAGGCCTGGAGAGGGCCAAAAGGGGTGATCATCCCAGAGAACAGATCTTACACAGCGGCAACTCAATTTTGGTGTTCTAAGCATTGTTTCAGGCACTTGACAAAGATGCATTTATTCATGTCTAGCGGTATTTACAGATCAAAGTAATACTAGCTAACATTTACTAACCACCACGCGTCAGCTTCTCTTTTAAGCATTTTACGTGAATTAACTCATTTTATTCTTCAAGGAACCTTTTTGAGACAGTCTAGCTCTGTTACCCAGGCTGGAGTTGAACGGCGTGATCTCGGCTCACTGCAACCTCTGCGTCCTGGGTTCAAGCAATTCTCCTGTCTCTGCCTGTGGAGTAGGTGGGACTACAGATACCCGCCACCACACTCGGCTAATGTTTGTAATTTTAGTAGAGATGGGGTTTCACCGTGTTAGTCAGGCTGGTCTCAAACTCCTGACCTCAGGTGATCCATCCACCTCAGCCTCCCAAAGTGCTGGGATTACAGGTTTGAGCCACTGTGCCCGGCCAGGAAGCATTACTTTTGATGCTGTTTAAAATAATAATAGGCTCAGTGGGTCACGCATGTTATCCTAGCGCTTTGAGAGGCTGTGGAGGGATCACTTGAGCTCAGGAGTTAAGAACAGACTGGGCAACATAGGGAGACCTCCGTCTCTACCAAAAAAAAATAAATAAATAAATAAATTAGCTGGTTGTGGTTCTGCAGGCCTGTGGTCCCAGCTATTTGGGAGGCTAAGACAGGAAGATCACTTGAAGCCGGGAGGTCGAGATTGCAGTGAGCTGTGATCACACCGCTGCACTCCAGCCTGGGCGACAGAGGGAGAGCTTAAATAATAAAATTGACGCAAACCCCGCTTGACACGCAGTAGCCCTCCATGCAGCTGCTTCCAACCTCTTGCTCTAGCAGCCCTTGTTCCGCCAAACCCCACCGTGTTTTTCCATCCCCGGGTTCCCTCGGGGCTCCGGCGGAGACACACAATAACTCAGAGTGAGTAACCCTCATTCTCTAGCCTCGTCCCTGAAGCCCGAGTCCCCCACTTACCACAAGTTAGGGACGTGTTGAGGCCACGGAGAAGGCCAGACCAGGACATCCTGCCGCCTGGGCCGTCCCTGTGGTAGGGGATAAGAGACTCAGAAAGGAGGGAGATGTGGCCGCTCCCCAAATGGTCCCCGATCCGCTCTCAGGACCTTCTGGGTTAAATCAAAGGAAGTCCCTCTTTAGGGCTAACCACAACCTCTCATGCTGCTAACACAAAGTCCCTCCGTAAATTTAGCCTCGCTCTGAGTGGTCTCTGAGGACCCAGCCACTCTCGCCCGCACATAAGAGGAAGTGGGAAACTGGGGAGAGAGCCTGGTAGATTTGGAGGACCCCAAGATGCCACCGACCTCAAGGGGCTCCAGCGGTGAGGTCGCGGACACGCTGAAACCTACCTCTAGCCTCTTCCGGGCGCTATCCGTGCAGGGATTGGCTGGTTTCGCCTTCGCGTCACCGAAGAGGCGGGACACAGACGGCGATTGGGCGACGACGGACTCTATCTCGGTCAACTTCCCTCAGGATATGATTTGCTCGTCCCGAACCAGAGTACTTGCTTTACAATTGGTCTAAACGCGGAGTAGGCGGGACGAAGTGCCGCCCTGTCCCTGGTCCAAGATGGCTGCGTCCGTGGCGCGGCGCTTGTGGCCTTTGTTGACTCGTCGGGGACTCCGGCCCCGGGAAGGCTGCATCTCCAACCACAGTCCAAGGAGAAGTTTCTCTACAGAGAAACGAAACCGGAACCTCTTGTACGAGCATGCGCGCGAGGGCTACAGCGAACTCCCTCGGCTGGACATAGAGCTGCTCTGCGCAAGCCCAGAAGAGGCCGCACGCGCTCTGGAGCTCCGCAAGGGGGTGCTGCGCTCGGCGGACCTGCCCGCGATCGTGAGTGCGCCTGCGCCGCCCGGCGGGAAACAGTGGTTTGCTTTTTGGGAGAATTGGATTTACAAGATGCGCTCCAGCAGGGGGCGAACTTATTGCAGGAATTTTAGTTCCTTCCCAAGTTGAGCCAACGTCTTGTGCATGGCACCCCTTATGTGCCAGTTGTCCAATGAGGGCTGAGGCCTTACTCTGTGCCAAAAATGCCTACTGTGTCCTAGATACCCATTATGTGCCTGTTTCATACTGCTCGCTGGGTACCTACCTACTGTCCTCTAGGACCTTGCTGTGTGGCACTGTCCTCCGTTCTCCAATGTCATGCCAGCCTTACCCTAAGACCACGAAGGGAGGCCGGGCGCGGTGTCTCACGCCTGTAATCCCAGCACTTTGGGAAGCCGAAGCGGGCGGATCACGAAGTCAGGAGTTTGAGACTAGCCTGGCCAACATAGTGAAGCCCCATCTCTATTGAAAATACAGCCGGGCGCGGTGGCTCAAGCCTGTAATCCCAGCACTTTGGGAGGCCGAGGCGGGTGGATCACGAGGTCGAGAGATCGAGACCATCCTGGTCAACATGGTGAAACCCCGTCTCTACTAAAAATACAAAAAAAAAATTAGCTGGGCGTGGTGGCTCGTGCCTGTAATCCCAGCTACTCAGGAGGCTGAGGCAGGAGAATTGCCTGAACCCAGGAGGCGGAGGTTGCGGTGAGCCGAGATCGCGCCATTGCACTCCAGCCTGGGTAACAAGAGCGAAACTCCGTCTCAAAAAAAAAAAAAAGAAAAGAAAAGAAAAGAAAATACAACAAATTAGCTGGGCGTAGTGGCAGGCACCTGTAATCCCAGCTACTCGGGAGGCTGAAGCAGGAAAATCGCTTGAACCCGGGGGGACAGAGGTTGCAGTGAGCCGAGATCACGCCATTGCCCTCCAGCCCCTGCAACAGTGAGAGACTCCATCTCAGCGCGCGCGCGCACACACACACACACACACACACACACACGAAAATGGGGAGCCGAGTGTGAATCGCACGGGGTCGGGGCTGGGATGTGTTGGAGCATTTGCCTTTGGAGAGAGATTTAGGGAGAGTTCTACACCTCCCCCACACGCAGCAGGCAGTTAAATAGGGTTATTGAATGAATGAATGAATGAATCCATTAATGAATGGTTTTATTAAATTGACATTTAAGGTGCAACTGTATGTTCCAGTGTTCCAGATGTTGCAAATGTGCGGTGAATAATAATACAATTGCTAGCACTTACAAAAGGGAATTAGAGGCCAGGCACACACCTACAATCCCAGCACTTTGGGAGGCTGAGGCAGGAGAATCACAAGGTCAAGAGATCGAGACCATCCTGCCCAATATGATGAACCCTTGTCTCTACTAAAAATACAAAAAAAAAAAATAACTGGGTGTACTGGCAAGTGCCTGTAATCCCAGCTAGTCAGGAGGCTGAGGCAGGAGGATTACTTGAACCAGGGAGTAGGAGGTTGCAGTGAGCCAAGATCGCACCACTGCACTCCAGCCTGGCAACAGAGCAAGATTCGGTCTTAAAAAAAAAAAAAAAAAAAAAAAAGTGGGGGTGCGGGAATTAGAACCAGGTTCACCATATCTCTGTGGTGAGGTGTTAGGGATGGTGGGGTCCCATGTTTTCCCAGTCCTCTCTTGGACTCCCGTACCGGCCTGTTTGAAGTGCTTTATACACTTTAACCTCATTTAATTTTCACAATAACTCTATGAAGTAATTGCCATTATTTCCCCTATTTTGTCAGAGAGAAAACTAAGACCCCGAGAAGCTAATTCACTTGCGCTAGGTCATGCAACTGGAAAGTGACAGAGTGGGATTTTATTTTATTTTATTTTATTTTATTTTTTGAGACAGTCTCCCTCTGTCACCAGGCCCCAGGCTGCAGTGCAGTGGCACAATCTTTGCTCACTGTAACCTCCACCTCCCGGATTCAAGCAATTCTCCTGCCTCAGCCTCCCGAGTAGCTGGGACTACAGGCTATATAGCTAATTAGCTAGGCATGGGACCATGCCTAGCTAATTTTTGTATTTTTAGTAGAGACAGGGTTTTACCATGTTGGCCAGGATGGTCTCAATCTCTTGACCTCGTGATCCGCCTGCCTCAGCCTCCCAAAGCACTGGGATTACAGGCTTGAGCCACCGCGCCTGGCCAGAGTGGGAATTTTTGCCTGCGTTTCCTGGCTCCAGAATCCACTTTTTTTTTTTTTTTTTTAAGAGACAGGGTCTTGTTCTGTCACCCAGGATGGAGGACAGTGGTACAGTTATAGCTCACTGCAACTTTGAACTCCTGGGCTCAAGCAATCCTCCCATCTCCGCCTCCCATGTAGCTGAGACTACAGGCAGATACCACCACACCCAGCTAAGCTTTTGTATTTTTTGTAGAGACAGGAACATGCTATGTCGCCCAGGCTGGTCTTGAACTCCTGTGCCCAAGTGATCCTCCCGCCTTAGCCTCCCCAAATTCTGAGATTATAGGCGTGAGCCACCACACCCAGACTCCATGATCGTAACTACCCCACTGTGCCCTCTCGTGACCTGAGTTTACAGTTTAGTAAAAGATAAATATTTTTTATTTTTGAGATGCAGTTTTGCTCCTGTTCCCCAGGCTCCAGCAGTGGTGAGATCTCGGCTCACTACGCCCTTCATTCGCCTCCCAGGTTCGAGCGATTCTCCCGCCTCAGCCTCCCGTGTAGCTGGATGACAGGCACGTGCCACCACACCCACCTAATTTTTGTGTTTTTGGTAGAAATGGGGTTTCACCGTGTCGGCCAGGCCGGTCTCCAACTCCTGACCTCAAGTGATCCGCCCACCTCAGCCTCCCAAAGTGCTAGGAGTACAGGTGTGAGCCACTACACTCAGCCAGTGTGTCTTAATTCTGGGCAGCTGTGTGGCCAGCTGAACCTCAGGGCGTTCCAATACTGAAGGGGAAGAGGGCAAGATGGCCTCTGAGGGCTGGGTAGGGATCTCTGCCTCACCCCGCCACAGGTCCAGGTGTCCAGTGGGCTCCAGAGAGAAGGGCAGGATCAGTGACTGCTCACCTCCTTCCCTCTTATGTCCACCCAGATCTCAACATGGCAGGAGCTGAGGCAGCTGCGGGAACAGATCCGGAGCCTGGAGGAAGAGAAGGCAGCCGTGACGAAGGCAGTGCAGGCCCTACTGGTGAGCGTGGGGCCCTGAGTGGGTGGGGAGTGGCTGCGAGCATGTCTGTTGACACAGGTAACAGGAAACTCAATTTAAAGAGCTTGAACAGGCTGGCGCAGTGGCTCACGCTTGTAATCCCAACTACTCGGGAGGCCTAGGTTGAAGGATCCTCTGAGGTCAGGTGTTTGAGACCAGTCTGGGTAACATGGTGAAACCCCACCTCTACTAAAAATACAAAAATGAGCTGGCGTGGTGGCGGGCACCTGTAATCCCAGCTACTTGGGAGGCTGAAACAGGAGAATGGCTTGAACCCAGGAGGTGGAGGTTGCAGTGAGCCGAGATCACGCCATTGCACTCCAGCCCGGGCAACAGAGTCAGAATCTGTCTGTAAATAAATGAATAAATTAATAAATAGCGTGAACAACGTGGACTTGCATTTCTTCACGTAGCACACTGTGCAGGACGCTGGCATCCCTAGGATTGATTGATTAGTGGCTCTTCCAGCATCCCCAGCCCAGGCACTTTCCTCTTCTCTGCACCGGCAACGTCATTGCACTGATCTTTCCTCAGTTTCCCCATCAGGGTTTCCAGATGGCTGCTGTAGTCCAGCGTCTCCTCACGTGACTGTGCCAGTGGGGGAGGAGACAGGGACTTCTCTGGCTTGAGCTCCTTCTTCAGGAGCAAGGACACCTTTCCTGAAGCATCCAACAGAGTCCCCGCGTGTCCCCCGGCCCAGAGCCCCACCCCACTGCAGTTGCTCAGGCCGCCAGCATAGGTGGGGCCCATGTCCCCCAAACTGCAGCTGCCAGGGAAGGGTGAACTGAGTCAGAGTTCTGTGGGGAAGCAGAGAGAAGGGATCTTTTTTTTTTTTTTTTTTTTTTTTTTTTGAGATGGAGTTTGTCTCTTTTTGCCCAGGCTAGAGTACCACAGCACAATCTCAGTTCACCGCAACCTCCATCTCCTGAATTCAAGCAATTCTCCTGCCTCACCCTCCCAAGTAGCTGGGATTGCAGGTGTGCCCCACCACACCTTGGCTAATTTTGTAATTTTAGTAGAGACTGGTTTCTCCATGTTGGCCAGGCTGGTCTCGAACTCCCGACCTCAGGTGATCCGCCTGCCTTGGCCTCCCAGCCAGGATCTTTATTTTATTTTTATTTATTTTTTTTGAGACAGAGTCTCCCTCTGTCGCTCAGGCCAGAGTGCGGTGGCTTGCTATACCCTCTGCCTCCCACGTTCAACTGATTCTCCTGCCTCACCCTCCCAAGTAGCTGGGATTACAGAGATGCGCTACGACGCCTGGCTCATTTTGCATTTTTATTAGAGACAGGGTTTCACCATGTTGGCCAGGCTGGTCTTGAACTCATGACCCCAGGTGATCTACCTGCCTTGACCTCCCAAAGTGCTGGGATTCCAGGCCACTGTGCCCGGCCTGGAAGGAAGGATCTTGGGTTAGGTAACCAAAAGCATCTGCAACAGCGGGCTTTAAAACAGTCATGAGAAAAGCAGACCTTGTGTAGAAATTGCTGTGCACCATGCCAGGTGCTTTCCATACTCTTTTTTTTTTTTTTGAGACGGAGTTTCGCTCTTGTTGCCCAGCCTGGAGTGCAATGGCGCGATCTTGGCTCACCGCAACCTCCGCCTCCTGGGCTCAGGCAATTCTCCTGCCTCAGCCTCCTGAGTAGCTGGGATTACAGGCACGTGCCACCATGCCCAGCTAATTTTTTGTATTTTTAGTAGAGACGGGGTTTCACCATGTTGACCAGGATGGTCTCGATCTCTCGACCTCGTGATCCACCCGCCTCTGCCTCCCAAAGTGCTGGGATTACAGGCTTGAGCCACCGCGCCCGGCTTCCATACTCTTAATCAGCAACCTCTGACACAAGAACAGTACAAACCCAGTTTTATAGCTGGGAAAAAGTAAGGCCCTAAGACATTAAAATGGGCCTAAGTGGCCAGGTATCGGGGCATGCGCCTGCAGTCCCAGCTACTCTAGAGGCCGAGGCAGGAAGATGACTTGAGTCCAAGAGTTTGAGGCTGCAGTCAGCCTCAAACTGTGTGATCACACCATCACACTCCAGCCTGGGCAATAGAGCAAGACCCTGTCTCAAAGAAAAAACAACCCAAAAAAGTCCCTAAGGCTCACAGCCAGGAAGTGGGAGAGGCAGGGTTTGCACCCAGGCGGTTGGTTTGCAAGCCTCAGGCTGTGTGCGTCACCGACAGCCAGTGAAAGCAACGCAGTGGGTCGTCTGATGTCTTTTGAGGGCTAACTCATCTTTTCAGGGAAGCTGCACGACAGCCCTGCCAGGGGGTCCTGTTACCATCCCACTTCACAGATGGGGATACTGAGGCTCAGGGGGGCAGAGGTTTGCCCAAAGGCTCGCAGAGGTAGGTGCCCAATATTCAGACCCAGGCTGTCCACTTCCCTCAGCTGCTTAGGATCATGGAAGTTTCAGAACGTCGAGGGCCCTTGGTTGGAGGGCCTCAAATGCCTCTCCAAGGCCCCATTTTCGTATCTACAGAGTATATTAGTCTGTTTTCTTTCTTTTTGAGACAGTCTTGCTCTGTCGCCCAGACTAGAGTACAGTGGCACAATCTCAGCTCGCTGCAACCTCCGCCTCCCAGGTTCAAGTGATTCTCCTGCCTCAGCCTCCCGAGTAGTTGGGATGACAGGCATGTGCCACCACACCCGGCTAATTTTGTATTTTTAGTAGAGATGGGGTTTCTCCATGTTGGTCAGGCTGTTCTCAAACTCCAGATCTCAGGTGATCTGCCTGCCTCAGCCTCCCAAAGTGCTGGGATTACAGTTGTGAGCCACCACTCCCAGCCCCATCTTCACACTGCTGTAGAGAATACCTAAAAGTGGGTAATTTACAAAGAAAAGAGGTTTAATGGACTCACAGGTGCACGTGGCTGGGAGGCCTCTGGAAACTTACAGTCGTGGTGGAAGGCGAAGGGGAAGCAAGGCACTTTCCCTTCCACAGGGCGGCCAGAGAGAGCTAGTCGGGGTAACTGCCAAACACTTTGAAATCATGAGATCTTGTGAGAACTCACTGTCACGAGAACAGCATGGGGGACGCCACCCCCAGGATCCGATCACCTCCCACCAGGTCCCTTCCTCAACAGGTAGAATTACAATTTGAGATAAGATTTGGGTGGGGACACAGAGCAAAACCATGTCTCGGGGTTTGCATGAATGCCTGCCTCCTAGAGTGGATTGTGAAGAACTCGGGTCATGGAGAGCTCTATACACGGAGCCTGGCGTGGAGGCAGCACAGCTGCAGCTGTGATTACTGTTAATTATCTTGTCTCTGTAGCGTCACCAATAGAGAAACTGAGGCACTGACAGAGCAGGAGACTAGGATCCTCTGGCCTTGTTTGACCTTTCACCCTTCCTTTTTTCTCTTCCCCACCCTCAACTGCATCAGCCTAATCACCCACCCTGTCTCTTTCCTGGCAGGCAAACCGAGACCATGGTGAAGTGCAGCAGGTACTGTGGGGAGCTGATGTCCTGTCCAGGGTGGGGGGTGGGCAGGGAGGATACTCTGCCAGTCACCATTCCACTATTGTAAGTAACGGAAAACAACTCAAACAGGTTTAAGGCAGTTGGGGGGTGGGGGTGGGGGGGTGGGGGGTGGGGATAGGCCGTATTGATACATGAAACTAAAAGCGGCTTCAGGTGCGGCTGGATCCAGGCACTGGCTCCATGTTTGGTCCTGCGTTTCTCGCATTCCCAGGCCATCTTTCTCCCCTTGTGTAAGTGGGAGGCAAAGTGAAGCACACTTTCCTGCTAGCTCCAGTTAAAGTCCTGGGGCTGATTCTCATGAGTTCAGCTGGCGTCGGGTGCCTGTCTCCGAGCCAGTCATTGTGGCCAAGGCAATAGAACGTTCCAGTTGGCCAGGCCTGATTCTTTGTCCCCAAGAATCTGCCGTGGGGTGGTGAGGGAAGTTTTTGCGAAGACATTCAGGATGCTGGGCCTAAGAAGAGACGTGAATGTCCACCCCCGGGGCTCTGCCAATCAGGATCAAGGTCACACTGGTTGAGGGAGTCCTGACCCCACCCGCGCTGCCCCCAGGACCCCCAGTACCAGAGTCTGCGGGCACGCGGCCGGGAGATCCGGAAGGAGCTTGTTCCCCTGTACCCCAGGGAGGCCCAGCTTGAAGAGGAGTTCTACCTGCAGGCGCTGAGGCTGCCCAACCAGACCCACCCAGACGTGGTGAGCGCCAGGCCGGGTGGCAGGGAGGCGAGGGGCCCACCCAGGCCCACCTTCCTGTGACTGCTGCTGTCTCCCTGCAGCCCGTCGGGGATGAGAGCCAGGCTCGAGTGCTCCACGTGGTCGGAGACAAGCCAGGTGGGCCACACCCCAGGCCTGGGAGCTGACGAGCCTTGGGGTATGGGGGATCTGGAGTCTGGGCTTGGGGGCCCCCACAGTCTGGGAATGTGGCTGGAGCCTGGAGAACTCCTGGTACTACAGGAGGTGGCTCCCCTTGACCAGGCTTGAGCTGCCCCTGAGAGGTGGTCCTTGGGTTTCCATTCTTTCTCCCTCACCATTGGGCAGACCCACCCTGTGTTGTGGGTATGCATCGTGTGTGTGCGTATTGTGTGTCCTGTGTGTATCTGTGTGTCATCGGTATCTGTGTGTGTATATCTGTGTGTCTGTGTTTATATCTGTGTGTCCGTGCATCTGTACGTGTCCGTGTTTCTGTGTCTTTCTGTGTATCTGTGTGTAGCTGTATCTGTGTATATCTGTGTGTGTGTCTGTATATCTGTGTGTGCCTGTGTCTGTGTGTCTATGTGTGTGATGGTGTCTGTGTCTGTGTATATGTGTGTGTATGTGTATCCGTGTATGTGACTATATCTGTATGTCTATGTGTGTGTCTATCTGTGTGTCTGTGTGTATCTGTGTGTGTGATTGTGTCTGTAGCTGTGTTACCTGTGTGTCTGTGTATATCTGTGTCTGTCTGTCTGTCTCTCTCTGACCCCCTTGCTTTGGTCCCTGTCTCCAGGGCTTTTCTTCCCGGACTCTGTGTGTCCTTCTCTCTGATCCTCCTCCTCCCTTCCTCCTGCGGCCTCTCTCCTCTGTTTCAGACTCTGCCTTCCCCACCCCGCCCCCTCTTATCCCCCCTGCTTCCGTCTCATTTCCTCTCCCTGTCGCTGCTTTTCTCTCCCTCCCCCGCTTCGCTCGCTCCCTCTCCTCTCTTTCCCTGCCCTCCTCTCCCTTCTCCTTCTCTCCTCCTGCCCTTCCCTTCCTTTCTCTCACCGCCCCTCCTCCCTCCCGTCTCTGGAAGCCTTTATCTCAGCTGCGTCCCTCTCTGCCCCGCTTACACCGGTGCTTTTCACCCACATCTAGCTTTCTCCTTCCAACCCCGGGGCCACCTGGAAATCGGCGAGAAACTCGACATCATCCGTCAGAAGTGAGCCCCTCTCCCGGCTCCCAGCACCCCATCCCAGCCGCAGGCACCCCGACAGCTGGTGGCCGCTCCTGTCCCTTTGGCTTCAGCGTGAGATGTGGAAATGCCATGAATCTTTGATGCCCCAGCCCCACCCAGCAGCTGGGCTTCTTCCCCCAGCTGTTTGTGTCCCCACGTTCCCTGCCAGCCTGGCCCATGTGCACACCCACCTGTCTGTCTGTCTCCCAGGCGCCTGTCCCACGTGTCTGGCCACCGTTCCTATTACCTACGAGGGGCTGGGGCCCTCCTGCAGCACGGCCTGGTCAACTTCACATTCAACAAACTTCTCCACCGGGTATGGGCCAAGATAGGAGGGCTGCCTGGAGGGGGTGGCATCGAAGCTGAGCCTCAGAGGGCGATGGGGTCACTGCTCCGCCCTAGTCACTGCTCTCAGAGCTTCACGTGTATCACTGACACATTTAGCCCTTGTGACAACTTCATCAAGTGGGTGCCGTCACCATCCCCACTTCAGAGAGAGGATCGAGGTCCAGAGGGGAAGGTACCTAGCCCACGGTCCCACAGCCAGTCTGCAGCTGGGCCTCGAGGCTGTGCTTGGTACCCCCTGCACCTCATTGCCTGCTTGTGTGGTGATCTGGGAATCACAGCGTGCATTAAAACACGGCAGGGGCCGGGCGCGGTGGCTCAAGCCTGTAATCCCAGCACTTTGGGAGGCCGAGGCGGGTGGATCACAAGGTCAAGAGATCGAGACCAACTTGGTCAACATGGTGAAACCCCGTCTCTACTAAAAATACAAAAAATTAGCTGGGCATGGTGGCGCGTGCCTGTAATCCCAGCTACTCAGGAGGCTGAGGCAGGAGAATTGCCTGAACCCAGGAGGTGGAGGTTGCGGTGAGCCGAGATCGCGCCATTGCACTCCAGCCTGGGTGACAAGAGCAAAACTCCGTCTCAAAAAAAAAAAAAAAAACACGGCAGGGGCTGCTTGCATGGAGCATTGGTCATGGTGAGGGACTCAGACATTTCCAGAGGGTACTAGGACACCATGGGAGGCTTTTAAGCAGGCGAGGGCTTGGCCAGATCTGTACTTTTTTTTTTTTTGAGACGGAGTCTCGCTCTGTCACTCAGACTGGAGTACAGGGCCACAGTCTTGGCTGACTGCAACCTCGACCTCTTGGGTTCCAGCGATTCTCCTGCCTCAGCCTCCCAAGTAGCTGGGATTACAGGCACGTGCCACCATGCCAGCTAATATTTTTTGTCTTTTTGATGGAGTCTCGCTCTGTCACCCAGGCTGGAGTGTAGTGGCACAATCTCCATGCTGGCTAACTGTTGTATTTTTAGTAGAGATGGGGTTTTGCCATGTTGGCCAGGCTGATCTCAGACTCCTGGCCTCAAGGTATCTGCCCGCCTCGGCCTCCCAAAGTGCTGGGATTACAGCTGTGAGCCACTGCGCCAGCCCCTGCCTCAGTTTCATCTGAGGAGGAAGGGCTTTGGAAGCCACTGGCTCACTTTGCAGCACCCCTTCTTTGGGGCTGAGCTTGGCATCTGGTGGGAGTGCCAGCTCTGCTCACTCACCCTCTCTCCTGAACAGGGCTTCACCCCCATGACGGTGCCAGACCTTCTCCGAGGAGCAGTGTTTGTGAGTGAGGCCACCCCGCTCCCCTCGGCCACGTGGGTGTCAGGTCCTGTTGCGGGTGCCTGAGGCAGGGAGACCTGAGGAGACCTCCCTGGGGCTGAGTTGAGGGGTCCAGGCCATACCAGGAAGGCCAGGGCGACTCCAGATGTGTCCAGGGGAGGAGCTGGGGTTGTGACTGTAAAACGGGAGAGGCTGGGCTTACCCTGACCCCTGTGGCCTGGCCTCCTCCCCCAGGAAGGCTGCGGGATGACACCAAATGCCAACCCATCCCAAATTTACAATATCGACCCCTCCCGCTTCGAAGATCTCAACCTGGCTGGAACATCAGAGGTGGGGCTTGCAGGTGAGCACCTGGGTGGGCACTGGGGGAGGAGCAGGGGCGATGTGGGAGGACAACTGGGAGCATCCAGGGGCGGCTGGGGGTGGCGCCCTGCCTAGAGCAGCTCAGCAGCCCCAGGGCCAACATGTACGGTTGTGTAGGTTGTTTACTGCACAACTGTGCAGTGACAGTCGAGCCCCATGCCTTGACCTGGGGTTTCACCCACCAGCCGGGAGTGTCTCTTATTCTCACAAAGGCGTCCTTGGGGCACTGGCAGCCCTGGCTCACCCTGTGGTCCCCTTCTCTTCCCAGGCTACTTCATGGACCACAGCGTGGCCTTCAGGGACCTGCCAGTCAGGTAACACCTGGTTTCCTCAGACCGTGACCCTACCTGTGACATTTACTCTGCCCGCCTTGACCCGACCTCCCCTGCTCTCTGCCAGGATGGTTTGTTCCAGCACCTGCTACCGGGCAGAGACAAACACGGGAAAGGACCCCCGGGGGCTGTATCGAGTCCACCACTTCACCAAGGCTGGTGTCACGGCGCCTAAGCGGGGCTGGGGTGGGGGGGTCACCCCAACAGCTCAGAGCCTCCTGACTCCCTTGCCCTCTGTCTCAGGTGGAGATGTTTGGGGTGACAGGCCCCGGGCTGGAGCAGAGCTCACAGCTGCTGGAGGAGTTCCTGGCCCTTCAGATGGAGATCTTGACAGAGCTGGGTTTGCACTTCCGGTGTGGAGAGGGGCTGGGGGCCCCGGGATGGCTGGGGTGGGGCAGGGAGGGACGAGGGGCTGGCCAGCTGCTGCTTGGTCTCGAACCACCTCTCCAGCCCTCACGTTGCCCCCGTTTTCCTGTACAAGGATTACAGGGGCATAGACAGGATTCCGGTTTGTGTGCCGGTGAGCCTGTGGTCTGTCATGGGATTAACAGAAGCGAGAAGGCCGGGCGCGGTGGCTCAACCCTGTAATCCCAGCACTTTGGGAGGCCGAGGCGGGTGGATCACGAGGTCGAGAGATCGAGACCATCCTGGTCAACATGGTGAAACCCCGTCTCTACTAAAAATACAAAAATCATTAGCTGGGCATGGTGGCGCGTGCCTGTAATCCCAGCTACTCAGGAGGCTGAGGCAGGAGAATTGCCTGAACCCAGGAGGCGGAGGTTGCGGTGAGCCGAGATCGCGCCATTGCACTCCAGCCTGGGTAACAAGGGCGAAACTCCGTCTCAAAAAAAAAAAAAAAAAAAAAAAAAACAGAAGCGAGAGTAACACAGGGTGCCCCAGGGTGGAGACCCAGGCCCCTTTCCTCCTGCTGCCTGCCCCCGCTCCCTGGGCCTCTGCCTCATCTGTCTTATCTGTGCAGCTTTTTCACCACCCAATGGGAAGCGGGGCTGGGAACGGGAGAAGCCAGAGGTTGCAAGCCCCACTTCCTCTCACCCTGTCAGGGACACGCAGCTTTCGGGAGAGGCTGAAAAATGTGGGCTGCTTTTCTGGGTGACCCATTGTAAAAAAAACTGGAAATGTAGGATGGACGTGGTGGCTCATTCCCCTAATCCCAGCAGTTTGGGAGGTCGAGGCAGGAGGATCACCTAAGGTCAGGAGTTCAAGACCAGCCTGACCAACATGGAGAAACCTCGTCTCTACTAAAAATACAAAATTAGCCAGGAGTGGTGGGGCACATACCTGTAATCCTAGCTACTTTGGAGGCTGAGGCAGGAGAATAACTTGAACCCAGGAGGCGGAGGTTGCAGTGAGCCGAGATCATGCCATTACACTCACTCCGGCCTGGGCAACGAGAGTGAAACTCCATCTCAAAAAAAAAAAAAAACAGCCGGGCGCGGTGGCTCAAGCCTGTAATCCCAGCACTTTGGGAGGCTGAGGCGGGTGGATCACGAGGTCGAGAGATCGAGACCATCCTGGTCAACATGGTGAAACCCCGTCTCTACTAAAAATACTAAAAATTAGCTGGGCGTGGTGGCGTGTGCCTGTAATCCCAGCTACTCAGGAGGCTGAGGCAGGAGAATTGCCTGAACCCAGGAGGCGGAGGTTGCGGTGAGCCGAGACCGTGCCATTGCACTCCAGCCTGGGTAACAAGAGCGAAACTCCGTCTCAAAAAAAAAAAAAAAAAAAGAATGTTCGAAGGTGCAAATGGCCACTGTGAACAGCCGGTAGACCCTGCCACGTGCCTTTCCTTCCCCATCAGCCTCTTTCGTGCCTCCTGTTCTGTATGCCACCTTCTCCGTCACCACCCCTGGCCTCACGACTCTCCTTTCCCTATCATCTCCTCCTCTTTATATATTTTGTTTGTTGTTTTTTGAATAGATGAGGTCTCCCTATGTTGCCCAGGCTGGTCTCGAACTCCTGGGCCTTTTCCTGCTTTTTGGCTGCCTTCTCTTCCATTGCTTCCATTCCTTCTCCCTGCTCCTCCTCTCACCCGCTGACCTTCACCACGCCTTTGACCTTGGCTGCAGGGTCCTGGACATGCCCACCCAGGAACTGGGCCTCCCCGCCTACCGCAAGTTTGACATTGAGGCCTGGATGCCAGGCCGTGGCTGCTTTGGAGAGGTGAGCCCCGAGCCACTGGACATGCGGGGTGGGAAGGAGGATGGACCTGCCCCCATCCCTGATCTGCTCAGCCTGCCACCCCCCACCCCAGGTCACCAGTGCTTCCAACTGCACGGACTTCCAGAGCCGCCGCCTCCACATCATGTTCCAGACTGAAGCTGGGGAGCTGCAGTTCGCCCACACGGTGAGACCCTGCACAGCCTCCTGCCCTTGCGCCCTCGCCCTCAGCCTGTCACCCTAGACCCACCCACCTGGGCCCCTCCCCTGGCCGGGCTTGGGGTGGGGTGGGCTGGGCGGCTGGTTCCGAGCACCGCTGTCTCACAGGTGAACGCCACTGCCTGTGCTGTCCCTCGCCTCCTCATCGCACTCCTGGAGAGTAACCAGCAAAAGGTGAGGGGTCGAGGGTCCCACGCAGAGAGGCCACTCAGCGTGGGGGAGGAGTGGGGCCTCTGCAGCATCCTGAGGCCTGCTCTGTCCCCAGGACGGCTCGGTGCTTGTGCCGCCCGCCCTCCAGCCCTACCTCGGCACTGATCGGATCACGGCCCCCACCCACGTGCCTCTCCAGTACATCGGCCCCAACCAGCCCCGGAAGCCTGGTCTCCCTGGCCAGCCTGCTGCAAGCTGAGAACCCACCCATGGCAGCCCTTGGGGGTGTCACTGCTTCCTGGAGCTCAGGAGATCTCAGACACCTGGGACCTGTGTTCCCGAGCCCATCCTGATACCTGCGATCCTCCTGTCAGCTCCACACCTGGGCCCCTGGACCCCGGGTCGACCTGTCCTCCATCCCTGTGCCTCAGAGTCAGTCACTGACCCTGTTATCATTGAGGGTCCCCGTGGCAAGCAGGACATCTGGGCTTTACGGTTCCAGGGATGGGAGAAGCAGAGGAAGAGGCCTCCATCCCTCCTTCCCTCCTTCCCTCCTTCCCTCCCACAGTGCTGACCAAAAAGTCCCCAATAAATGGTCAGGACGAAGCCCTCTGTGGATCTGTGAGCGAGGGAGATGCCCGGCTTTCCAGGAGCTGCTGGGTGAGCGCTCGGAGGTGCTGTCCTCTGTGGCTGTGAGGACCATGGCTGGGAGTGCCTAGCCACCTGGAAGCACGCATGGAGGCTGGCGCGGGGGCCACCAGGGGAGCTGAGAGGAGGCCGAATTCTCTGCTTCCTCTAGGACAAGGCGGAACAGTCACCCGGCAAGGGTTCCTTCGAGCTGACCCCAGGGGGAAGGACAGCTTCACCCCTCTCCTCAGTCTCCAGTTCCCCATGCTGCTGTCCCTTCCGTAGCTCCAGATAGGGGCGCAGCAGGCATCACAAACTCAGCGAAGCCACCTGGTCCTCTGATTCGCTTTGCCTACGCCCGTTCCTCTCCAGGCATGCCCATCCCAGGACATTTTCCCAGCTGCCCAGGCCACGACCCTTCAGGTCAGCCTCGACTTTTTTCTCATATCCACATCCACTTCATGAGCAATCCCGGCAGCACTGCCTTCAGAATGTTTCCAGAATCTCGTCAGGTGTCTTGGCTCACACCTGTAATCCCAGCACTTTGGGAGGCTGAGGCGGGCTGACTACTTGAGATCAGGAGTCTGAGGCCAGCCTGGCCAACATAGTGAAACCTCATCTCTACTAAAAATACAAAAATGAGCTGGGCATGGTGGCACGCACCCATAATCCCAGCTAGGCTGAGGCAGAATTCTTGAACCCGGGAGGCAGAGGTTGCAGTGAACTAAGATCACGCCACTGCACTCCAGCCTTGATGACAGAGCAAGACTCCGTCTCAAAAAATATTTCCAGAATCTGCCCACTGCTCTCTCCCGACTGACCCCACGTGGCCTCGTCCTCCGATCTCTCCCTCTTGGCTAGCCCTGGAAGCCTCCTCACTGGCTCCCTGCTCTCTGTCCTTGTCCTTGCCACAGACAGAGGGACCTGTGAGCACCTCAGTTGGGTGTCCCACCCCTGCTCAGAGGCCTCCTGTAGCTTCATCTCAGTAAAAGGGCAAAGTGGACTCTGAGGCTCCTAAGACCCCACCTGAGCCACTCCACCTTCCTCTTCAGCCCGTCTGTCTTGCTTGGTCCACCCGACCTGCCTTGCTGTTGAAACTCCAAATTCCTTCCCGAGTCAGACATTTGCATTGTCTCCCTCTCTGTAATCACAGCTACTCAGGAGGCTGAGGCAGGAGAACCGCTTGAACCTGGGAGGCGGGGGTTACAGTGAGCCTAGATCAGCGCCACTGCACTCTAGCCTGGGCAACAGAGTAAGACTTCATCTCAAAAAAAAAAAAAAAAAAAACTCTGTGGATGAGAAAACAGGGCCAGGAAGGGAAGGAGTTGCTTGAGGTCCATCTGTGCGTGGCTGACTCTGGGTCCCCAACCAGGTCCACCAGTCAGCGTGGAGAGCAGGTGTACCAGACCCTGCTGCTCTGGAAACAGACCCTCCCAGGTGGGGCGTGGCAACTCACACCTGTACCCCCAGCACTTTGGGAGCCCCAAGAAAGAGGATCACTTGAGACCAGGAGTTTGAGACCATTCTGGCCAACAAAGTGAGACTGTGCCTCTGTGAAAACTAATCATTATTAGCCAGACGCGGTGGTGCATGTCTGTGGTCCCAGCTACTCGGGAGGCTGAGGTAGGACATCAGTTGAGCTCAGGAGCCTGCAGTGAGCAAGTGATTGCGCCACCGCACTCCAGCCTGGGTGACAGAGCCAGACCCTGTCTCAAAAAAAAAAAAGGGGGTGGGCCCCCAGCCCTTCACCGCTGCGCTCCTGGCTGGAAGCCTCAAGGGGAGCGCATGTAGGGCCAGGGGCCTCATGAATAATTGAGGGTCTCAGGCAGGCAACCGCCTCGCAGATGTCGCCTCGCCGCAGGCGGGGAGGGGGCGGCGATGACATCACTTCCTCCCTTCGGGCCCGCGTGGGTTATAAGGCGCTGCAGTCCCGGTCCACACAGCTCTGTGGACCCGTTGGACGCCCACCATGCTGTGCCGTGGGCTTGCCTCCCTGCTGCTGCTGCCGCTTCTGCTGGGAGCAGGTGAGTGCAGGACCCGTAAGGAGCCCAGGAGCAGGGACTCGGGTGGCCGGGGCCAGGCTATGCACCCAGCAGAGGCTTCGGGGGCAAGCCTCCAGCTGGGACGGTGCACCTACCAGGTGGGATGAGGGGGTATGTGTGGGGATCGGGACGCCCATGGAGCTAGGGGCAGTACCGGGGACAACAGCCAGGGCGCCCGAGCCCAGCACCAGCCTCCTTTCTCCACAGCCACCACTGCTCCCTTGGCACCAAGACCCTCCAAGGAGGAGGTGAGGAGTGTGGAGCCCTTGCCCTGCCTCACCTAGCTGGGCCCTGCCCTCCCAGCACAGCCTGCCCATGTTCCCCATTGCCCTCAAACCAGCCATTCTCCTCCTCCCCATCCCCCCTCCCCTCAACCTTCCCTCTGACCTAGCACCCCTGCCCCCCAGCTGACCCGCTGTCTGGCAGAGGTGGTCACACAGGTGCTGACCGTAGGCCAGGTCCAGAGAGGACCCTGCACGGCTCTTCTCCACAAAGGTAAGGAGGCCCCATCGGACCTCACCCCACCCCACCCAGGGTCCTGCCCAGGTGCCCCACGTGCCCTCCTGCCTGGGGTTCCTGGAGGGAAGGGGTCCTCATTCCCACAGCCCTTTTGCTTGGGCCAGTGGGGCACTGCCGACCATTCACACCTGCCAGAGCCCGGCCACCAGCTCCACCCTTGTGGCTCCCAGCAGAAGGACCAGGTGGGGCAGAGCATGTCCCCTCCTGGGCGGAATGAACTGGGACTCTCCCCTTCCAGTCTGGGCAGCCCCCCTGTGAGACCTCAGGCAGGGCCCAGAACTCTTCAAGGCCTCAGTTTCCCAGTTTGAACTCCTGACCTCAGGTGATCGGCCACCTTGGTCTCCTGAGATTACAGGCCTGAGCCTGCATGCCCAGCCCCAGTTGGATGCTTAGAGAGCATCCTTTCCCTTTCTGCCAGAGATGTGCGGGACAGAGCCCCACGGCTGCACATCCACCGAGGAGAAAGGCCTGCTGTTTGGGGATTTCAAGAAGCAGGAGGCTGGGAAGACAAGGTCCAGCCAGGAGGTGAGGGATGAGGAAGAGGAGGAGATAGCAGAGAGGACCCAGAGGTCCGAGGTCCAGGAACAAGCCATCCGAGAGCAAGGGCACCGCCAGCTCCACCGGGAGGAGGACGAGGAGGAGGTGGAGAAGATGGAAGAGGAGAAGGGGGAGAGGAAGAAGGGGCCCATGGAGACCTTCAGTCACCTGTGGCAGCACCATCTAGAGAATGGAGGGGACCTCAAGAAGCGGGTGGCAGAGAAGGCCAGCGATGAAGAGACGGCCCAGTTCCAGGCAGAGGAGCAGGGGGTGCAAGTGCTGGGCGGGGACCACAGCCTGTGGCAGGGGGCCGAGAAGGGCGGAGGAGAGAGGCACGAGGACTCGCCACGCCACCGCCACCACCACCAGCAGTCGGAGGCTGAGCCCAGGCAGGAGGAGGAGGAGGCGGCTTTGGAGAGGGAGGTGAGTAGGGGATGATGGAGGAGCACCAAGACAGTGTGGAGGGAGGGTTGACCAGATGGTCAGTGGAGTTACCACTCAGCAGCCACCAATGTTGGCCATACACCACCAGATCCATCACGAGTGGATCACAGTGACCGAGGCCGACCCCAGGGCTGGGTAGCAACTTCCATATACGGTAAGGGGCTGTGGCAGCCAAGATGGTGCCATCACTGCATAGAAGCAAGGCAGCATCACTAGCAAGTGGGCCATCATGAAAGTGGCCGCTGTGCCTGCTTCACTAGGTGACAGACACCACTGCTGGGTCATGGAAGACAAGGTAACTCCATGATTGGTGGCAGTAACCGAAGTATCATCACAGGCTGGGCATGGTGGCTCATGCCTGTAATCCTAGGGAGGGGTAATCCTTTGGGAGGTCAAGGTGGGAGGACTCGTAGAGGCCAGGAGTTGGAAACCAGCCTGGGCAACACAGTGAAACGCTGACCCTACAAATAATTTAAAAAATTAGCCAGGCATGGTGGCACACGCCTGTGGTCCCAGCTTGCAGGAAGCTGAGGTGGTAGGCTTGCTTGAAGCCGGGAGGTTGAGGCTGCAGTGAGCCATGATTGTGCCACTACACTCCCAACCTGGGCTACAGAGCAAAGTCTTTTTTTTTTTTTTTTTTTTTTTTTTTTGAGACGGAGTTTCACTCTTGTTACCCAGGCTGGAGTGCAATGGTGTGATCTTGGCTCACTGCGACCTCCGCCTCCTGGGTTCAGGCAATTCTCCTGCCTCAGCCTCCTGAGTAGCTGGGATTACAGGCACGCGCCACCATGCCCAGCTAATTTTTTTGTATTTTCAGTAGAGACGGGGTTTCACCATGTTGACCAGGATGGTCTCGATCTCTTGACCTCGTGATCCACCCGCCTCAGCCTCCCAAAGTGCTGGGATTACAGGCTTGAGCCACCACGCCTGGCCCTGTATTACATTTTTTATATTAATTTTTTAATTAAAAAAATAAAAATAAAGTGCTAGTACATTGCAAGCACTCATGCCAGGCACCTTTGCCAGTCCCATGATGCTGCTGTTGGCTGTGGTCACATTAGCCACTACTGCTCTTCCAGGGTTATGGCAGTCAGCATGGTCACCATCACGGTCCACGGTGATCAGAACGACTGCTGCTGGCTGCCACTGTGAGAACCGACGTGGCCCACGTTCACAGTGACTGAGGTGGCCTGTCTTTGAAGGTGGGTGCTGACCACCGCCTTTCTGACCCCACCAGGAACAGGAGGTGGAGCGGCTGGAGCACTTGAGAGATGAACTGAAGAAGGTAACGGAGACGCTGGGGGAGCAGCTCAGGAGGGAGGGCTGACCCCCGCCTCGTGCCTTCCTTCCTCCCGACACACCCTGTGGCTTAGGTCTGTTGACCCTGAAGCCTCCACCTCTCCTAGCACCCCACAACACCCCTACTGGAGCAGGGGAG